GTGCACTGAGGATGTTACCCAGCAGGGTAACGAAACATGCGGAACAACAAACCAGCTCGGCGAGCCAACCAACCTCAACACCCACAACCCGAGCTACAAATCTACTCCAAAACCTAATTGACTTTCCTGCTCCTCTGATGCTGTCTGACCTGCTGTGTTTGCCCAGCTCTGAGTTTATTGACTCTCCCTTCAGCATCTGCAGTCAGTCCTTACTGTCTCCAGATTAATCCTCTAGTCATAACACCACTAGGCCATCACCTTCCCATGACAAATGGTGGAGCAGCATGAAGGGAGCAAACAGCTGGCCCCTGCTCCTATTTTCATAAATTTCTGCAAAAACCCCAGCTTGCCCACTCCCTCCCATCCCAACTGTACCATGTCATAGAAAGCACATTCTCAATTGACCTTTAATTATTTCAGAGTCCACCCATTCTCCATCTCGTGGGACTGAGCTCAGGGTGTTGGTGGGGCCGTAGTGGGCTGGTTACCTGCCTTCTGTTAGGTGCCCACCCATCAAAAGCACACCGGCAGTGGCACATAATATCCAACACATCTCCTGAATGTTTTTTCCAGCCCTCTGGATTACTAGTGCAGTAACATTACCAGACATGGTGTCTACATGGTCAAGATTCCGCATTCCCTGAGGAGATGGAGGAAGGAGTAGGTAATGGTTCATTCCAATGTAAGTTTGATTGATTTCTTGCAGAAAACAAGAGAAACAAGGTAGAAATAATGTGAAGCATAGCGAGGAAGGCAGCAGGAAGGGAGTAGAGAGCTGAATGTACAGGTGACCTTCAACCAGTGGGGGTTCATCTCGTCTCATCTCCAAATCTGCTGTAAATTAATTTACAGAGAATGATAGCTGCGATCAATCAATTAACTAATCAATTAATCCTGTTATAGGAAGGATATTATTAAACTGGAGAGGGTTCAGAAAACATTGACCAGGATGTTGCCAGGAATGGAGAGTTTGAATTATAAGGAGAGGTTGGACAGGCTGGGACTTTTTTCCCTGGAGTGTAGGAGGTTGAGGGGAGACCTTTATAGAGGTTTATAAAATCATGAGGGTTATAGATAAGGTGAATGACAGATTTTTTTTTCCCTAGGGTGGGGGATTTCAAGACAAGGGGGCATATTTTTAAGGTGAGAGGGGAAAGATTTAAAAAAAGACATGGGGGGAATTTTTTTACACAGCGTGGAATGAACTTCCAAAGGAAGTGTTGGATGTGGGTACAGTTACAAGGTTTACAAACATTTGAATAAGTACATTAATAAGAATGGTTTGGAGGGATATGGGCCAAGCGCAGGCATGTGGAACTAGTTTAGCTTGGGATTGTGGTCAGCATGGACTGGTTGGACCGAAGGGTCTATTTCTGTGCTGTATGACTGTATGACTCTATAAAACTTCCATTCTCATCATGGGACAGTGGTGCAGTAGTATTGTTATTGGGATAGCAGTTGCGAACCCCCTGCTGTTCTTCTGTGGGTGGAGGTTTGAATTCAATTTTTGTTTAAAAGAGTCTGGCCTAATGGAGGCCATGTAACCACTATTGAAAACTAATACCCTTAGGGAAGGAAATCTGCCAAAATCATCTATTCTGGCCCTTGTGTGGCTCTCACGAAGGGGAGGTGATGGCCTAGCAATGCAATAGCTGGACTATTAATCCAGAGACTGTGGTAATGTTCTGGGGACTTGAGTTCAAATCCTTTATGTGACAGGTGATGGACTTTGAAATTAATAAAATTGGGAATTAGGAGTCTAGTGATGACCAGGAAGCTGTTGTTGAGTGTTGGAAAAGCTCATCTGGTTCACCAGTATCAAAGGAAACCGCTGTCCTTACCTGGCCTACATGTGACTCCAGACCCACTGGAATGTGGTTGACTCTCCAATAAATGCGTTAGCTAGTGATGGGAAGCAAATACTGACCTCGCCTGTGAGTCCCACATCCCATGAACAAATAAAAAAAGAACTCGAAAGTGAAATTCTTAAGCAGCTAGGGAACTAGAACCAAGGGACACATTTTCAGGATAAAGGATTAGCCATTTAGGACTGAGAGAAGGACAGTTTCTTTGCTCAGAGGTTTGTGAACCTTTGGAATTCTCTGCCCCAGGGGCTGCAGATGCCTAGTTATTGAGAATTTGCAAGACCAGGTCAGTGGAATTTTCATTATAGGCGAGGAATCAGGGAGAATTGTTGGAAAGCTGCAACCAAGATGCTAAAAATGCAAATTGTTTTTCTTGTTGTGTTATATCAGGGTAACCCCTTGGTCATCTGACCTCTAGAGTAAGAGAGAATGGGAGGCAGGGTAAAGACAATTTTGTAACATAGTTACCTGACCCATGGAACCAATGGACAAGATTTAAGTTGGCAACTAGAGGAGATGATCAAAGGAAAGGGGAAGATTGTTTAGCAGAAACACATGGGGCGAGAGAGATGGAAATGGGTGAAAGGACAGTGTGTGAGCAGAACAGCAATAGACAGAAAGTGATGTGCAATCAGGCCCTGGCATATGTGTCCACTGTGGACTGAGCGATTCACACAGATTTACTGCTGTTTACAATTCCTTGTTAGCAGTCGTCTGACCTCAATAAATAATGAACATGTAACCTGACACCTTTCCCAAGAAAATAAATGATGCACGTGGGAAAAGTGGAATGGAAATAAATGTCTCTTTTGTGCCAGTACTTTTGTCAGTTAAAAATATAAAAAAAGGTATGTACAAAATAAACAACACCTGATTTTGAAATTCCTGACTTGTTTTCAACTCCATCCATGACCTCGCCTCACCCTAACTCTCTAATCTCCTCCAAGCCTCCACATTCTGAGACATCTCATCCCAGCAATTGTAACTTTGTGCATAGCTGTGTGAGGACAGTGGTGTAGTGCTACTATCATTGGGCTAGCAACCCAGAACCCTGGACTCATCTTCTGGGGATGTGGGTTTGAGTCCTACCATTGTGATATTTGGGTTCATTTTCTTTTCTAAAATCTAGAATAAAAAGGCTAGCCTAATGATGCCTAAGTAACAATTGCTGTAGATATCCGTCTGGTTTAGAAAAGGAAATCTGCCATCCTTACCCAGTCTGGCCTACATGTAACTCCAGACCAGGTTGGATCATAACTGCTCTCTGAAATGGCCTAGCAGACCACTCAGTTCAAGGGCAGTGAATCCTCACATCCAATCAGCAAATTTTTAAATGATTTTAACTAATCCACGTTGATAGCCATGCAGGCGCAAGCTTTGAAATTCCCTCCAAAAACTTTACTGCCTCCCACTCCTCTCTCTTCAAGGGAGACGCTCATTAAAATCTACCTTTTTGAGCACATCTGCCCTACATGTGACTCCAGACCCACCAGCGACATGTGGTTGAGTCTCAAATGTCCTCTGGGTAATCAGGGATAAGTGATAAGTGTTGGCCTAGCCCGATGCTTCTGAAGTACACAGCTGTTTGGGAGAAGGTTTTCAGCCAGGAACAAAATGTTCTTCATGTAAGAAAATAGTTTTACTTTGAAACCGCCTCGTTCTAATTTTAAGATTATTTTATATTTGGGAACAGAGGACATCGGAACAGGAGCAGGCCATTCCAGCCCAGTCCACCAATCAAACAGATCATGGTACTCCTCCACCTCCATGCCATTCTGCTGCACATCTTTTGAAGCAATTTATCTGCAGAAACCAATTGACTTCTGTTTTAAATGTCCTCAAATTTCCATGGCTCTCTGGGGTAGACAATTCCAAAATACACCATTCTCTGCGTGAAGAGGTATCTCCTGTGAAATGGATTGCCTTTTATTCTGAGACTGTGTCCCAGGGTTTGAGACCCCACTACCAGGGGAACATAAGAACATAAGAAATAGGAGCAAGAGCAGGCCATGTGACCCATCAAGCCTGCCCCGCCATTCAGTAAGATCATGGCTGATTTTTTCATGGACTCAGCTCCACTTACCTGCTCACTCACCATAACCCTTAATTCCTTCACTTTTCAAAAATCTATCTGCGTTTGCCTTAAAAACATTGAATGAGGAAACCTCAACTTACTTCACTGGGCAGGGAATTCCACAGATTCCCTACCCTTTGGGTGAAGAAGTTCCTCCTCAAATTAGTCCTAAATCTGCTCCCCGTTATTTTGAGGCTCTGCCCCCTAGTTCTCGTTTCACCTGCCAGTGGAAACAACCTCCCTGCTTCTATTTTATCTAATTTTTATGGATAATTTTTAGATAAATTTTATAAATTATATATAATCCCCCATGTTTCCATAAGATCCACCCTCATGCTTCTAAATTCCAATGAGTATTGTGCAGTCTGCTCAATCTCTCGTCATAAGCCAACCCTCTCTACACCAGAACCAGCCTAGCGAATCTCCCCTGCACCCCCTCCAGTGCCAGTACATCCTTTCTCAAGTAAGGAGGCCAAAACTGTACACAGCATCCTTCTTGCATCTGTGCTTGTTCATCATGTTCCCCTGCACAAGGGATAAGCCGGGGACATAGTGACAGAACGATGTTGGCATTGTGCTAGCAATGACCTGGGGAGCTGTGTTCAAATCCCACCAGCTGGTAGAATTTAAATATCCAATGAGCGAGTTGAATAACCAGTTTCAGTTATAATGGCCTTGAAGCTAACATTGGTTTGCTGTTTAAAAACCCATCTGGTTCACTCAAGTCCTTTATGGGAGGAAATCTGCTGTGCTTACCTGGTCTGATCTACATGTGACTCCAAACCCACAATGATTCTTAACTGACCACTGAAAAGTGATCTAGCAATCAATCAACTCAAGAGGCAATTAGGAATGGACAATAAATGTTGACTGGCTGGTGATGCCTCCACCCTATGAATTTTTATTTTAAAAATCAGATCTCCACAGGGACTAAGGAGAGGCCACAAGCAATAGCTTGTGAGGACATCTGTACAAACACCAGCCTTGTCAATGAGTCCATTTCTGTGATTGAATGAATAAGAGACAGCAAATTGAAACTGATTATTGCTTGCTCATGTTCAATGGGGGAAAGAACATTGTCCGGTTCCTTGTCTCTAAGCACGTCTCCCCCTATTTCCTCAGGTAGCCGAGAGGCTGCTTTTGTCTACGCGATTTCCTCTGCTGGTGTGGTGTATGCTATCACACGAGCTTGCAGCCAGGGAGAACTGAACAGCTGTAATTGTGACTCTCATAAGAGGGACAAAGACCGGGATCGGAGAGGGGAGTTCGACTGGGGAGGCTGCAGTGACAACATCAACTATGGAATCAAGTTCTCCAAAGATTTTGTGGATGCCAAGGAGAAGAAGGAAAAGGATGCCAGGGCACTGATGAACCTACACAACAACCGTTGCGGCAGGACGGTGAGTAGATGATAAACAATAAGACAATCAGATGGAATGACAATCAGATCCTGTTTGCAACACATTCTCATTCCAATGTGGCTGCACATAGCCTCCAGTTTTTGCAGACAAATGTCCTTTTACTACAGAACTAGGACCCAGAGAGCTAGGCCAGTGTTCAAGTGAGGCTTGGAAATGTCTAATGGTGTAAACTGTGCAGCAAAATGTTTCTCATTAATCTCCATGCTTTGTAATAAGAGGGTGTTAGCTATTGATGAAAAAACAGTTCTTAAAGTAGTGGGACCAATAATTGATGAAACACCCTAAATTATTAATGAACAGTATTCATTATTGAGTGTAAGCTATTTATGCCAATTTAATGGCATCAATTACAATTTATTTGTTATTGATATGAAGTCCTGAATTATTGATGTAAAGGCAGGAAGGACAGGTAAGGAACCATTAATTAATGGTACAAACACAGGTTAATGGGTATAACCTTATAGAGATATAGTTACAAGGAGATCAAAGCTGAGAACTAAATATTCAAGGGTGTGTGACATTTTGAAAGAAAGGCAGGAAGATGGGTTAGCTTTGTTAGTACCAGATGGAATAGATATGATAACTAGATATGATCTTGGCTCAGAAGATGTAAAATCTATATGGGTGCAGGTAGGAATTATCTTGAAGACACTGTGGGAGTAATCTATAGACCACCAATAAAGGGAAGACCTTTTAGAATGGAAATAAGGAGAAACTTCTTCAGCCAGAGAGTGGTGAATCTATGGAATTCACTGCTACAGAAGGCTGTGGCAGCCAGGTCATTGAGTATAATTAAGCCAGCGATAGATAGGTTCTTGATTATCAAGGGGATCAAGGATTACGGGGAGAAAGCAGGAGAATGGGATTGAGAAACTTACCAACCATGATTGAATGGTGGAGTAGACTTGATGGGCTGAATGGCCTAATTTCTACTCCTATGTCTTATGGTCTTAACAGTGGGACAGGGAATAAATCAGGAGATAATGAGGGCATTAATAAAGGCAATACATTAATCATGGATGTCTTTTTAATCTGCATGCTAATTAGGAATATCGAAAATGGCAAGGAAGAATTCGTGGAGTATATTTGGAACAGTTTCTGAAAATAATATGTTGTGGATCCAACCAGGGATCAGGCTAATTTCGGATCTGGTAATTTGTTATGAGGCAGGTTTAATAAATGATCTCAGCGTAAAGAATCCTGGGGAAAACTGTCGCCATAACATGGTAAAATTTAGAATTCAATTTGAGAGTGAGAAACTCTCTGCTAAACTCAAATAAGGGGCATTACAAAGGAATGAGAGCAAAGTAGGATTGTGTAGGCTGGGGAAGGAGTTTAACAGAAAAGACAGTTGAGGAACAATGGTAAACATTAAAGAAATGTGTCACAGCAAAGTTGTACCCAGGAGAGAAAGAAGGATTCTAGAAGGAGGATAAGCCAACCATGGTTAGCCAGGAAAGTTAAGGATAACTTCAAATTGAAATAAAAACAAAACATAAAATGTGGCAACAATTAGTGGTAAAACACAGGATTTGGAAAGTTTTAAAAATGAGCAAAAGATCAAAAAAGAGAGAAAATAAACTTTGAGGGTAAACTAGCAAGTAATATCAAAATGGACAGCAAGATGTTTTTCAAATATATATAAAAAAGGAGAGAGACCAAAGTGAACATTTGGTCCTTTGAGAATGAAATAAATATTACATAAATAAGCACTAATGAATAATTAATTTGCATCAGCTTCACAGTAGAAGATGCTAATAGTGTGCCAAAAATACAAAGCAGCCAAGCAGCAAAAGAGGGAGGGAACGTAAATACAATAATTATCACCAGAGAAAATGTACAAGGGAAACTAATGGCTTAAAAGCCCATAAGTCTCCGAGTACTAACGGGACACATCCTAGGATATTAAAGGTCAGGAGTCACACGACACCAGGTTATAGTCCAACAGGTTTGTTGTGATTTCAGATAAACCTGTTGAACTATCACCTGGTGTCATGTGACTTCTGACTTGTCCACCTCAGTCCAACACTGGCACTTCCACACCATCAGATATTAAAGGACTAGTTTCAGAGATATGGACACGTTGATCCTTAGATTCTGAAGAAGTCCCAGTCGACTGGAAAACTGCCAATGTAACACATTTATTCAGAAAGGGGAGGCTTAGAACAGGTCACTATAGGCCAGTTAGCACTACATCTGTCATTGGGAAAATGTTAATCTGTTATAAAGGAGTAGAGCATTCAGAAATGCGTAATAGATTCAAACAAAGTCAATATGCTTCATGAAGAGGAAATCCTGCCTGACAAATTTATCGGAATTATTTGAAGAGATAGCTTGGATGGATAAAGGGGAACCAGTGGCTGTCATATATTTGGATGTTCAAAGGTGTTTAATATGGGACCACACATGGTTTTTGGGGCAGTGTATTAGTATGGGTGGAGGATTAGCTAACTAATGGAGACAGAGTTGGGATAAGGGGACAGTTCAGAATGGCAATCTGTAACTAGTGGAGTGCCACAGGGATCAGTGATGGGGTTGCAGTTATTTACAATATATATTAATGACTTGGGTGAAGGAAGTGAATCTACTGTCACCAAGATTGCAGCTGACACATAAATTGGCGCAAAGGCAAGTGGTGAGGATCATACAAAGAATCTACAGGGAGTTATAGACAGGTTAAGCAATTGGGCAAAAGCTTGGCAGATGTAATACAATGTAGGAAACATGAGGTTATGCACTTTGGCATTAAAAATAGGAGAGCTAAATATTTATTCAAATCGATAAAGACTGCAGAAAGCTACATTACAGAAGGATTTGGGAGTCCACGTGCATAACTCAAAAAAAGACTAGCATCCAAGTTCATTGGGTAATAGGGAAGGCAAATGGAATATTTATTTCAAAGGTAATGTTAGGGAAATCTTCTTCAAAGGTTAGAAGGCACCAGTTAGATCACACTAATTTTGGGTCAAATTTGAATAATTCTGGAACCCTTATCTAAGAGAATATATACTGACAAAGGAGGTAATGCAGAGAAAGTTCACTAGGTTGATTCCAGCATGGAGGAATTTCCATGTGAGAAGTTGAGTAGGTTGGTCATGTACTCACTGGAGTTTAGTAGAATGAGAGGTAATCTTATTAAAATGTACAAGATTTTTAGGGGGTTTAACAGGGTGGATGCAGGGATGCTCTTTCCAACTGTGAGAGAGTCTAGGACTAGAGGGCAAACTCTCAGAGTAATGAGTTACCCAGCAAAGACAAAGGTGAGAAGGAATTTTTCCTCTCAGAGGGTCTAAAGCTGTGAAATGCTTTACCCACAGAGCCGTTGAGATTAAGTCATTGACTGTATTCAAGGCTGAGGTAGATGTGTAATCATCAAGTGAGTCAAGGGTTATGAAGAAAAGATGGAAGAGTGTAGATGAAGATTATCAAATCAGCCATGATCTTTTTTAATGGCAGAATTGACTTAATGGGCCAAATAACCTCTTTCTGTTCCTGTGTCTTATGGCTATTGTTCACAGATGATCGTAGACACCTCTTCCCATTACAGTGAGTTAATGGTTATCTATAACTTGAGCTAAGGTAAAAGGACAGGGCTTCATGAATTACTACAATCAGTACAGAACTGACTCCTGTAAAGATAGTAATTATTAAAGTTACTTATTCAGAATAAAATATTAAATATTGATATAAGTATTATCGACGATTAGTAGTTATTGGTATGAAATCAATCATAATTTATTTTAAAATATTAATTCATGATTGTAAAATTATTATTGAAATAATAATATGTAAAGAAGAAACTGAAAGAACTGCGGATGCTGTAAATCAGGAACAAAAACAGAAATTGCTGGAAAAGCTCAGCAAGTCTGACAGTATCTGTGAAGAGAAATCAGAGTTAACGTTTCGAGTCCGGTGACCCTTCCTCAGAACTGCTGAGCTTTTCCAGCAACTTCTGTTTTTGAACATGTAAAGTTGATTGTAGCATCTAATTATTAATAAATTATTATTAAGGAAAATAATTAAGTGTTGTACTGAAGGTGTTAATTTTTAATATTAATTTAAAACAAATGGATATCATTATTGACATTAGTACATTCACTGAGGGAATTTTACTAATTCCTGATCTCGAGGCTTTAAATTCTTAAAGGCACACTCATTGATATTAAGTCATTAGTTACTGTTTTAAAAGATGTTAGTTGTTAATGGAAGGACATTAATTTCTTCTTTTTGCAACATTAAACATCCCCTCCCTCTGCCCCACCCATCTCATTTTAACCCTGATAAGAGGGCCCTCCCCCAACTTGAAAATAGATTTGAAAAAAATGATTAAGAGTTTTGGAAGGTTAACATATAAGGAGAGGTCACAGAAACTTGATTTGCGTTCCCTTGAGAGTGCATAGTTGAAGGGTAATCTGATGGAGGTGGTGAACATGGTAAAGATATTAGATAGGGCAATAAGAGAGAAATTATTTCTTCCAGTGGTAGGGGCGTCCAGAACAATAGGACATAACCTCAAAATTAGAGCTAAACTATTTACAAAGGAGATTAGGAAGCAGCTCTTCACATGAAACGTGGCAGAAATTGGAAGTCCTCTGTGACAAAAGGCTGGTTAGTTTTTTTTTGGTTATTTAGGGTATCAAAAGATATGGAACAAAAGTGATTGAATATAAATTTGCATTGATTTAATTGAGCAGCTGAGGTTTAAGGGCTGAGTGGCCTACTCCTGTTACTCTATTGCAATAAATACAATAGTTGTTTCAAGGGAAACTTGGATGACAGGGGATTGAGAGGCTGAGTGGCCTCCTTCTGTCCTATTTTCCTTTTCCGAGCTCCTGTGAGACCGGGCCAGAGACGCAAATAGTCTCCAAGAGATGTTTTCGAAAAATCTGTTGAATTCTGTGTTGGACAATGTGCCAGGAGAGTGAGATTGGTATCAGATGTATTACAGATAACATCCACATGTGCAAAATATGCAAAGGAAACACTATCGTCAAGGGGTTAATGATTTTTAAATCAATTTACATCAGTTATCATAGAGAACATATTTCAACATCAATTTTATTGTATAAAGCATTGTAAACCAAAACATAAAAAATTCTCAAAGGAAATATATATACTTTTTACTCATTGTGCTGTCCTTTTACATATTTTAGGGCATCATATTCAGGTATTGTTTTTTGCTGTTGAAATGAGAGTGGAGAATGAATGATCTCAATCCTGCTTTCTCCATTGTTTGTTTCCCTTACATCAAGGTGCCCAAACAAAAATAGAGTCAATGGAATATAAAGGAAGACTCGCTGCTGGTTAGGGTCATACCTAGAACATAGGGAGATGGTCGTGGTTGTTGGAGGTCAGTCATCTCAGCTCCAGGACATCTCTGCAGGAGTTCCTCAGGCTAGTGTCCTAGGCCCAACCATCTTTAGCTGCTTCATCAATGACCATCCCTCCATCATAAGGTCAGAAATGGGGATGTTCGCCAATGATTGCACGGTGATCAGTGCCATTTGCGACTCTGCAGATACTGAAGCAGTCCATGTTCAAATGCAGTAAGACCTGGACAATATCCAGGCTTGGGCTTACAAGTGGCAAGTAACATTCACACCACACAAATGGCAGGCAATGACATTCAATGGCATTAACATCACTGAATCCCCATTAACAATATCCAGGGGTGTTACCATTGACCAGAAACTGAACTGGACTAGCCGTATAAATAGTATGGTTTCGAGAGCAGGCCAGAGTCTAGGAATCCTGCAGTGAGTAACTCACCTCCTGACTCCTCAAAGCCTGTCCACCATCTATAATGTGTTTGTCAGGAGTGCAATAGAGTATTCCCCAATTGCCTGGAAGACTGCGGCTCCAACAGCACTCAAAATGCCATGACTCTATCCTGGACAAAGCAGCCCACTTGATTGGTACCACATCCACGAACATCCACTCCCTCCACCATCAACGCTCAGTCGCAGCAGTGTGCACTTTCTACAAGATGCATTGCAGAAATTCACCAAAGATCCTCAGACAGCACTTTCCAAACCCACGACCACTTCCATCTAGAAGGACGAGGGCAGCAGATACATGAGAACACCAGCCCCTGCAAGATCCTCTCCAAGTTACTCACCATCCTGACTTGGAAATATATCGCTGTTCCTTCACTGGAATTCCCTGCCTAAGGGCATTGTGGAGTGCCTAAACCCGAGAACAACATCCGATCAAGAAAGCAGCTCACCACCGCTTCCTGCAGGGAAGTTAGAGATGGGCAGTAGCTGCGGGCTCAGCCAGTGATATCCACATCTCTTTCAACAAGTCCAAAACAATTAGGTTCAAGTGGAACAGGGAGGTTAGATTTGAACTGCTGCCTGTCTATTCACAGAAGCCTGTGCCTTGCTGATTCACATGAACTTGAAAACAAAGTTTGGAATATCACGCTATCATAAGAGAGCAGCGTTTAATTTTCCAAGATCAAAAGAAAGTGCCTGAAATGCTCAAGTCTGGCAGTATCTGAGGTGATCAGCCAGACGTGTTGAGCATTTCCAGTATTTCTGGTTTCATTTCAGATGCCCAGCTCCTGCAGTACTTGTCTTTTTGTTTTTGATGTTAAGTTTAAGGTGTACTTTTGGGTGAGGGAGTTTTTGTGTCATTTTCATAGAATCGTAGGTTCCAAGAACTGTTACTGTACAGGAGGAGGCCATTCAGCTTGTCAAACTGATACTGGCTCTCTGCAACAACAATTGAACTAGCTCCACTGCCCCTCTCTTTTCCTATAACCCAGGACCCTTTTTTTCTCTTTGGGAAACTAGCAAGTTTTCCTTCTGAAAGCCCCTGCGATTCTGCCTTCATTTCTGTGTAAAAAGATTTCACCTCACACTGTCTTTGTTGCTTTCGTGAATTCCTTTAAACTGGTGTTCTCAATGCTTCCATTAATCATAGAATCCCTACAGTGTGGAAACAGGCCATTCAACCCAACAAGTCCACACTGACCCTCCAAAGAGCTTCCCACCCAGACCCATTCCCCTAACCCTGCATTACCCATGTCTAACACACCTAACCTAAACATCCCCGGGCACTATAGGCAATTTAGCATGGCCAATCCACCTACCCTGCACATCTTTAGACTGTAATAGGAAGAGTTTCACTCCGTCTTCCTAAACCTCAGGCTTTTTAATAGAAAAATCAAAAGGGGCATTTAGAAGAAATATTTTCATACAAAGTTATTAAAGTCTAGAATGTTTCGCACCAAGTAAGTAAAGCAGCATTTGAAAGGGGGTGTGGATCTGGAAGCAGGGTGTGGGAGGCAATGGCCTAGTGGTATTATCGTTAGACTATTAATCCAGAGACCCAGATGATGTTCTGAGGACCTGGGTTCAAATCCTGCCACAGCAGTTGGTGGAATTTGAATTCTCTAAATATCTGGAATTGATAGTCGTCTAATGATGACTGTGAAGTGATTGTTGATTGTTGGGGGAAAACCCATCTGGTTCACTAATATCCTTTAGGGAAGGAAACTACTGATCTGGCCTATATGTGACTCCAGACCCACAGCAATGTGGTTGACTCTTAACTGCCTCTGGGCAATTGGGGATGGGCAATAAATGCTGCCTAGCCAGCGATGCCCTCATCCTGTTAACAAATAAAGGAAAAAAAAGACTTTAAAATCTATTAATTACAGAAAAGATGCAGAGATTTTTTTATTCTTTCATGAGATGTAGGCAAGATCAGCACTTGTTCCCATCCCTGATTGCCCTTGAACTAAATGGCTTGCTCAGTCATTTCAGAGTAAACCATATTGACATGTAGACAGGCTATTCAGTCATCATAGGGGAGGCAGTGGCCTAAGTCATATTATCAGTAAATTAATTATTCAGAAGCTCAGCTAATTTTCTGGGGAAAAACCCGGGTGGAATTTGAATTCAATAAAGAATCTAATGATGACGATGAAACCATTGCCAATTATTGGGGAACAAAAACCCATCTGGTTCACTAATGCCCTTTAGGGAAGGAAACTGCCATTCTTACGTGGTCTGGCCTACATGTGACTCCAGACCCACAGCAATGTGGTTGGCACTTAACTGCCCCCTGGGCAATTAGGGATAGGCAATACATGATGGCCTGGCCAGAGGTGCCCACATCCCATGAATGAATAAATTTTAAAAAAGTACTGAGACTAACTTTCAATTCCAGAATGATCAACTGAATCATGTGCAGGATTTGAGCATGGTCTCCAAAGCATGAAGCCTAACGTCTAGACTATTATCCTGATGACACTAGCTCTGTGTCACCACCCCTGGAAGGGCAATAGGCTGAGTATAGACTGCTTCCTTTCGAAAGCATCAAAATGGCCTGCTTTTATTTTTTTACATTCTGATTCTCTCGATTATAGCATGATTTAACATGGAATTTGGAAATGTTTCTCTCCCGATTAGCAAGAAGAAGTACGTCCCAAAATCTTCCTTCAAATCTCTGAAAATTTATTTTCTAATTCTTGCTCTTCATCCTTTTTCAGCAATTTGTAATACTTTCTAACACCCCTGTAATTTTAATTTCCACCGTTAACCAAGACCATAAGATGGAGGAGCAGAAGTAGGCTATTCAGCCCATCATGTCTGCTCCGCTATGCAATGAGATCATTGCTGATCTGAAAATCCTCAATTCTAATCTTCTGCCTTTTCCCCATACCCCTCAATTCCCTTATTGATTAAAAAAGTCTGTCTGTCCATCTCAGCTTTGAATATACTTAGGGGCCCAGCCATGACAGTCCTCTGCGGTAAAAATTCTTCAGATTCACAACCCACTGAGAGAAGAAATTCTTCTGCACCTCCCGTCTGAAAAGGGCAACCCCTTTCAGATTGTGGCCCTATCCTTGTCCAGGGTTTAATTGACATGAATCATTCTGCTTAAAGAATAAATGTGCACAACATGGGGAATGTGTTATAACTGGAGACAATCCCAATGTGCTTTGCAACTGATGAACTGTAGTTCCTGCTGTAACCTGGGGAATAAAGGCACAGGAAGCTCCCACAAAGGGCAGTGAACTAAATACAGGGCCATGGGAAAAGGGCACAAGATTGGCACTGAATCAAGATGCTCAAAGACCTGGTGCAGACTTGAGGGGCCACATGCACTGTAGTATTGCAGTAATTCAGTAGAAGACTGAATCTTGACCAGGGAAACAGAAGAACTCCCTTACTGTTCTGCACACAGTCATTTGGGCCTTAGTCATTTGGGTTAGAAATGGAGTAAATGTCCCTCAACACTGTCCCCATCAAACACTCCCCCAGGACAGGGACAGCACGGGGTTAGATACAGAGTAACGTGCTCTCTACACTGTCCCCCATCAAACACTCCCCCAGGACAGGGACAGCACAGGGTTAGATACAGAGTAAAGCTCTCTCTACACTGTCCCCATCGAACACTCCCAGCACATGGACAGCACAGGGTTAGATACAGAGTAAAGCTCCTTCTACACTGTCCCCATCGAACACTCCCAGGACAGGGACAGCACAGGGTTAGATACAGAGTAAAGCTCGCTCTACACTGTCCCCATCGAACACTCCCAGGACATGAACAGCACAGGGTTAGATACAGAGTAAAGCTCTCTCTACACTGTCCCCATCAAACACTCCCAGGACAGGGACAGCACAGGGTTAGACACAGAGTAAAGCTCTCTCTACACTATCCCCATCAAACACTCCCAGGACATGGACAGCACAGGGTTAGACACAGAGTAAAGCTCTCTCTACACTATCCCCATCAAACACTCCCAGGACAGGGATAAGACTTGAGAATCACAACTCTTTTTTTGAACATCCTATAAGACCTGTGACAGGTTATTTGTATCTTTTGTGATAACTCAGTGTCTTTGTAACCCTGCAGGCTGTGAAAAAATTCATGAAGCTGGAGTGTAAATGCCACGGTGTTAGTGGATCCTGTACATTAAGGACTTGTTGGTTAGCAATGTCGGACTTTCGAAAGACTGGAGATTACCTGCGAAAGAAATACCACTTGGCGATTCAGGTCACCATGAACCAGGATGGAACCGGTTTCACTGTCACCAACAAACACTCAGACAGGCTGATCAAGAACGACTTAGTGTACTTTGAGAACTCGCCCGATTACTGTGTCATGGATAAAGCTGCAGGTAAGATACAAGCTGTTCCACACCAAGTGGACCCTGTCTCCGAAAAGGTTGCAGTGTTTGTGGGAGAGATAGTGAGTCAAGGGCATTTGTAATTGGGGAAAGTGGGGCATTCTGAAGGCAAAGAAATGCGGGATCAGTGGCTGAGCTGATGTAGGAGAGAGCGGTCAGCTTCAGGCTTGAACTTGGTTACAAAGGACCCAGGAGCTTGATACAATGAGATGGAAGGTGAACAGAGTGGCTTTGGTTTCATCTGTGGGTGATAGCCAGGAGATTCAGGATACGGAGTTACCATGGAGATGGACCAGGGGTTTGTTGTGAAGGAGAATGGAATCATCAACAAACTGATGGACAGATCAAAGGGCATCAGTAAGTGAAACACAATGTGACTTTGACTAAAGTGGCGTACATGAATTTTCAAAAACCTGACTGTAGAATTGGAGGCTAGCAAAGCTAGATATAGTTATGGAGCAGCATTGCATACAAGGACCTTGAACTGTCATTTGATAGGTTAGCTTGAGAGAGCAGAAGGATTTTGAAAGTGCTACTACAGAGAGGGGTGATGATAGTCTTGCTAAAAAGATAACTTTGGGTCATTTTTCACTCTGCTCCATCTCCCCAGTCACCAGCATCGTCACAAACTTTTCAATCAACCCCAGAGGGAGTCTTCTTGCAATATCCTGGTGGCCCACATTCCGCCTTCCACTGGTCCCCACTGTTACACCAGACAGAGAGAATAATCTCTAAAGAAGGGTCACTGAACTCAAAACATTGACTCTGCTTTCTCCCCACAGATGCTGCCAGACCTGCTGAGTTCCTCCAGCAATTTCTGCTTTTGTTGAGTATAATCCAGCCTTTAACAAACACAATGCTGATGGCTGAGGGATAAATATTGTCCAAGACTCCAACAAATCAGAGCAGTTGTCCACCACAAGTGGTCACACATTTTTAAGGGTCATTATTTCCCCTTCACTGTGTCCTTTGTAACCGAGTTCAAGTCAGAAGCTGACCGTTCTCTCCTACATCAGCTGAGACGCTGACCCTGCATTTCTTTGAGCTGTCAATTTAAGTACATCATCTCAACTGACTAACTGATAGAGATTGACAGTTATCATTTATTAAGAACACCATTGTATCTGCTAGTATGGAACAAGGAGACCCTGATCCTCCCTCATGAACAATTCTGTAGCTGTTTTATTTGCACATGGGATATGGATGTCCCTGGCAAGGAAGCAACTGGTTTCCTTCCGTATGTAATGGACTTTACAGCTCTACTATCCTTTTAACCTTTTAATCTTTAATCAAAACTGAAAATGTTAGACATACTCAGCAGGTCTGGCAGCATCTTTGGAGATAGAAACAGTTAATTACATTGATGACATTTTCTAACTTGGAATTGGAAAAGCTTTAAGCAAACACAGAGCCAGGGAAATTGGCAGGTGCGTGGAGTGGGAGAGAACAAAAAAAGAGGCCTTAGGAGCAGACTGAAGGGCAGGAGTGACTAAATGATAACAGTGTAAGGCTAAAAGATTAATGAGACAATTGTCAAGAAACAAAAGGTTGTTCCAGAGGAGGAGTTAATGGTTACAGCAGGATAGTGGTTGGGGGGGGTGTTGGAGATGTGTTCTTTCGGGGTGATAGTGCTGAAGTTGGTGGGGAACATGGACAACCTGGTAAAGAGTAGGTTCCATTGGAGCAGGAATACAGGAATCGGATGGAAAACCATGAACCTATTGTTGATTGCTGGATAAAAACCCATCTGGTTCACTCATGTCCTTTTGGGAAGGAAACTGCCATCCTTACACGGTCTGGCCTACATGTGACTCCAAACCCACAGCAATGTGGTTGACTCTGAATTGTCGTTTAGGCAATTAGGGATGGGCAATATTTGCCGGCATGACCGGCGATGCCCTCATCCCATGTATGAATTAAAAGATAATCTTCTGCACTTACTGTAGCTGGCATTCCCTATTACTAGCACTCAGTTTGAGAAAATGGGAGTGTTGACTGTGATTTGTAATCACTGCAATGAGGGCATGTTCTAGAGGATGCAAACCCACTGAATAAAACAGCTGGGAATGTTACTACCAACTCAGTCAATCATCAATCTCTTGGATAGAACTGAACATAGATTTATTACAGCATGGAAGGAGGCCATTTGGTCCATCATGCCCATCTGCACTCCCAGTCCGGCAAATCTGCATTTCCAGACCGGTGTATCTGCACTCCCAGTCTGGCGTATCTGCACCCGCAGACCGTATCTGCACCCGCAGACCAGTATATCTGCACCCGCAGACCAGTGTATCTGCACCTGCAGACCTGTGTATCCGCGCTCGCAGACCGGCATTCCTGCACCCGCAGACTGGCATATCTGCACCCGCAGACCGGCATATCTGCACCCGCAGACCGGCATATCTGCACCCACAGATGGGTGTTTCTGCATTGCCAGACCGGTGTATCTGCACCCGCAGACTGGTGTATCTGCACTCCCAGACTGGTGTATCTGCACCCGCAGACTGGCGTATCTGCACTCCCAGACCGGCGTATCTCCACTCCCAGACCGGTGTATCTGCACCCGCAGACGGGTGTATCTGCACCCGCAGGCTGGCATAGCTGCACTCCCAGACCGG